TTGTTACAAAAAACAACAAATAATAAAAAAGAAGATATAAAAATCAAACATTACAAGCATCGAATAAATAGCAATTAAATGATTTTGATTCTCTAATTTAATTTTCTGAGCATTTTTAGAACAAATTCTAAAACTATACAAAATATAACCTATATATTATAATTTCAGTGAAAAACAAAATTCTTTAATTGTTACCAAGATAAATATTAATTTATAGATTTATGTCATTATTTTATTTATTCTATGAAGGATAATATTTATAATCTTAACTTCTTCAAAACTTATCAACAAATAAATACAACAAAGAAATTACTAAAATAAAATGTTAAAAGTATTTTAACAAAATTTATCGAAAAATTGGTTGTGACACTAGGAAGTGCCATTTTAGAAAAGAGCTACCTAACTCTAAAAGTGTCCCTGACGAATGCTTATAAGTTTATGTCGCTCGTCATTTTCTAGGAAATTTAAGTAGGTTCGGTACTAGTTCATGTATTAGAAAGTAAATTAAAATTTACACTGAAAATTAAAACAAATAAATACATATAATCGTCAAAATAATAAATTTCCATTAGTGACCAAATATGTTATTGACAAAATGTTACGAATTGCTTCTGACGATTCTTTATTGTAGTATGTATGAAAAAGGGCATATATTGACAGGGCTAAATTTTGAAATAAAATTTAAAAATGAGCGTGTGATGAAGGACAAGTTTATAATTAGAATGTCGATTGATTTTTTACATTTATTTATAAATATTTATTTAAAAAATTATTTTATTATGAAATTTTCAAAAACATATGTTGTGTTTTTTTCTCCGCTAAAATAACATTTATATGGGTATCGGAGCAGGACGAATAGGCGCGGCCGAATAGGCGCCATTTTTTCGGCGCAGCCTATTTTCGGCGTTTAAGGCAAAAACGCATAAACGCATCAATTTACGCGGAAAATAGTTTTTGCCGCTGCGGAGGAAGCCGGGCATGTCGAGCGGAACGACGGCCGCCGCTTCGCTACGGTCGCCGCGAGCGCAGCGAGCACGACCGCAGCGAAGCACGGCCATCGTGTAGCGAAGATTCCAGAGAAGATTCTGTTGGTCATAAGTTTATGCATAATTTCGAATCAAGCTGGTTTCGGTATCATCGATTCTGCTCGTCTAACTCATGCAAATGAGCTATTATTTGTATATTTAAATTTTTTTCCCTCGACGCCGAAAACATGCTGCGCCGAAAAAATGGCGTCTATTCGTCCGCGCCTATTCGGCCGCGCCTATTAGTCGTGTACCCATATTGGAACAGAAGATCATAAAAATTTTCGGTTTTAGCTCGGTATACCACTAATGACAATAATCGATGTTAGCTATTTTATGCAATAGCTTACAAAAAATGAATATTTTTGATGAACAAACGAAACCGTAGCACAAGATTTATGTATTTATATTAACGCTCAAGTACTTACTCTTTTCGCAAATTAAATATTAAGCAGATTTGTAAATTGAATAGTTTAAAAACACCTACCGATCATTGCTTTCTCTCACTTTTTGGTCATATTCACTGATTGCCACAACAAATAATAGCATTAAGATCGTCATATATATGAATCATTTATGTCTTTCCGGGCCTTGATCCTAACATCGAATAGACTGAAAATTTACAAAGTAGATGATTTGGCAAACCCAATGATTTGGCAAACCTCCTTTGTCTCTACTGAATTGAGAATTTTTTTAATAGATGAATAAAGATATCAAACCGGAGATGACATTTTTATTTAATTTCTTGAAATCTTGGGCCAACTCCATCTTTCCCATCTGAATCATCATTTATTAGCAAAACTCTTCGTACTATCCTATGCGTCAACTCATGTGCAAGTATAGCGAAGAGTTTATATCCAACTTTTTCATGCGGAGCTCGAATATGCATGCTCTCTTTTAACCATCGGAAAGCTAAGAAGTATCCGCACGATGCTGGATCGTACCAAATATCCTATTCTTCAAAAATATAACGCAGCTGCATTTATTCTTGACAAATACCATAAGTATGCAGCATTTGTCTATACAATTTATAAATTTAAAGTTCAGCAAATAAAAGTAGTATTTAACATATTCGGTGAGTTTTGCATCTCCAATGACTGTTCTACGCGCAGCCTTTACGTCTGTTAGCAGCAAGCTGCGAAGTCGATTTAGTTTTAGACGATTTAGTTTTTACAAAAAATAAACATTTTAAAATATAACTGGAATTAAATATTTAGCTAAACACATGTATGTAAGAGAGACAATAGGCAAAAAATGCTAGGAAAATATGAAAGGCGTGAAATTAAGCAAAGTCCTTTCCGGCTCAATATTTCCTACGGAAGGACATTATAGTCCTACAGAATCTTTAAAAATATTGTTTCATGAGATCTTACAAGCTAAAGCTGCATAACATTAAAGATATATTTGTCTATTAAATATATATTTGTCTCCCTGTCTATTAAAAATCTTTAATAAATTTTCCCCTTTTTGAGCATGTATGTAGTTTGTAAGTTGTATTAGTTTGTAATTTTTTTAGTAATTTTTATTTATTTTTTTAGTTTGTAAGCCCTATTACCTTCCTTCACCTTACTCATAGCTATGTCTCCGTTATTCAATAGCCTTTAAAATATTTTTTCAATTTTTAATTGAAAAAAATGAAATTGTATCTCCAATATGGTTGAGGATCCTAGAAAATTTTTATAAATTTTTAGTGTTTTACAAGTTAGGGCAGGTCAAATTAAAAAATAGTAATCAGAAAGTTTATTTAGCATGGGGCTTTATTTTAGGAAATACGGTATTTATTTAATATTTATCGTGGTAACATTTAAAGAATTTTGTATTTTACATAGTTTAGAATTAGTTCAATAAACTCAGAAATTAAAGATAGCGAATTATATCATTTAAATACTATTTATTCGATTACTGTTGTTTAATTTTTATTTTCCTTCATTATTCTTTTTTGCTTACTGTAACAAATATCACATATATATTGTTCAGGGTTAGAATGACGGTACCAATGTGATGTTTTTGTTTCTCCGCAAGTAAAACATTTTCGATCTTTTGTGATTCGCTATAAAATTTATAAAATTGAGAGTTGATACTAGTTCTCAGATAAAAATTTTCTAATTTATTTTAATAATTTTCGACAACTGATGCCTCTAACCTATTTCAGCTTGTATATCCTTAATAATTACTTAAATATGCTCAAAACATTTAAAACTACTCATATACATTTATAAAATCATTGTTGAATGAAATTAAATTGTTGAATAAAATTAAAGAATAGAAAAATGAATAAAATTTAAACCATATTAGTTTTATAATAACTTCCTTCAGGTCTCATTTTGTCATTATATATTTTATATTCCTGACATGGTTGACACAAATAATGTTCTTTTAGATATCTATACCAATTTTTGGTAATTGTAAATCTACAATTGAAACAGTTTCGTTTACTTCCTTCAATTATTCCTCCTATAATAAATTTTTTATTTGTTTAAATTTGCATTTCAGCTCTACTTTTAATAGCTGTTTTGAAATATTTGGTTCGAAATCTTGGTTTATCCAAGTTGAAAATCGAAATTTCGAAAAAGCTCTAATGCCCTTAGCATTTAATTAAATATTTCAAAATGCATCCCTATTTATTTACAGGGTAAACAAATAGTTAAAATATTTATTCAATTTTCTGGCTTCATTTTAAAAGGCTATTTTATTTAAGGTTTTTACCTCTATTTCTTGCTTCTATTTAATAAAGCCTAGTAATTTGATTTTATTAAAAAGTTCAGACGGTAATTCGTTGGTTTAGACCCATCACCTTTTTTAAGAATCCTTGAACATTTTGTGCTCTTTTGCTTGATACGCAGTGGCGGAAATTTACTTAAGACCGATTGAATTTTTTTCTTTAACCTTACTTTTCTCTCCAGCTTTATAGAAATATGAAATAGTTTTTTGGCTATTGAATAGTTCTGCTTTCAACCTACCTTTTCTGTAAATTTTTTTAATGTATTACAATGGCAACCCAAAATTTTTTAGCAAAAACTTAAAAGTATGCGCGAAATTTACTTAAGACCGATATACAATCTTTAAATTTTCTGACTAAAATCTATTAGATGTCGCCATCCCTTTTTTTCTTAATAATACCCTGGCAATGTAGATTCGTAGAATTGAATAAATTCATACTCACTCATTTGAGAAGTACAACTAAGCTTCATTTGACACACATGAAAAGCTGATCTTGGTTTTTGGGGGGTTTTTGGCTTAATCTGCTCGTCGACACAAATCCACAGCATCTCAATTGGATCTAGTCTCTGTGTTCTTTAACCTTGAGAGGATCGGAATTGTGACCTAATATTTATAAGACCTCGATTTAGATTAAAATGTGAATATTTAAAACAATGAAAGGAGAATTGTCTATTCTAAGAACCATAGAATATGTATATCCTATGTTGGACATTTAATAAAATATCTAGAATAATTTTTAAACAGTTCAATTGCTTTAAATATAATTAGGATAAATGTGCTAATTGTTTCCCAATTATCTAATCTTTTTTATGTTCACCTGAATGATGTGTTACATAATCTACCACCTCCTGCAATGACTTATGTATAAAATATCTACTATATGCTTTACATATTCTTTCAAAATAACACAAGCATTTTATGATTTTGAAACGTGAAAAGGATAAAAATTCGTACACAAAATTGTACATAAAAGTACAATTACATTCAAAGATCAGATTCTTTTAAATTTAATTATGTACTTTAAAATCTTTTGGTCAACAAAAATTTCAAAATTTGCCCTATTTTATTTATTTTCCCGCTTAATAAAAAATGCCAAATCAGATGTAAAAAATTTGTAGGAGGTGGTTTTTTAAATAAAGAGGTCTTTTACATAATTTTTTTAACATTCATTCGGGTCCCCAACTGACGGACCGTTAGTTCGGTCCTCATTTATGGGTCCGCAACAAAAAAGCAACTTTAATTTTCAAATTTCAGATGATTAAATTTAATTATATAATTTTCATATATTTATTTATTCTTTTGAAAATTCGGTGTTCAGGGAGAATTATTAGTGTGGAAGTGAAAATTAGTGATGATTGGAAAGAAAAAAGAGAATTTATTTATTTAAAAAATGTTGAAATAAAGGATCGTTTTGTGATGAAAGTGATTGAAAAACAAAATAATCAACGTGATAGTTTTAATAAAAATATAGAAGGATATTTGCGTCCAATTGACTTAAATCTAAATAAAAATATGTTTGATGTTAAAATAAGTGATAGATCAAAATATATTCCATCTGATCAATTAAAAAAGAAAATTTTGATTGAAATTACTAATAATGAAATAATTCAAAATATTCTGCCTGGGCTTGAAAAAATGGTATATTTTTATTAATAGAATTTCGATTCCATAGTGTCACAACTAGCTAGCAAAGGAAAAGTAACAGCAATGAAAAGAAAATCACTCTCTATATCACTCGGATGTGTTATAAATTTAAGGTACACCGAAACAATAATTTTATTGAAAATAATAATTGTTATGAAACTTCGATATTATGCAAGAATGAAAATAATTTTAGTTTGATTGAAGAAAATATAGAATCTTATAAAAATAAACTTTTATCAAGTTATTGGACGGAAATTAATTTAATTGGAAATAAAATTGAATTGCTGGAAAAACAAAAAATTGGATATATCAAAGAATTAGAAAGCAGAATTATTTATATTAGCAATAAAATAAGTAATAAATTTTTTATTTCGGCATTATTTAAAGTTAATTTTTAATTTATTTTAATTATGTAGGCGAACTTAATGAAGGAAATGAACGAAATTGTTTTATTTGCAAAGATATACAAAACAGATACAGGTATAAATACCTACAAAATTATTACTTGTGCTCCCGATGTCACCATTACAATTTAAGAAAGGAAGGAGAGCATAGACCGATAAAATTATGGTATAATACTATAAGTAAACAGGTTTGCTATTATCAATACATATGTTATGCCAATTTTTCTAAAAATCGAATATTGTTTATATTCAGAGGGATCGCCGATGTTATATTTGCAGTTACAAAATCATCAAAATGGTATCGTCATTCAGAACCTGGACAATATTTATGTCGACATTGTTACGATCGTGATAGAAGAAAAGGATAAATAAAATGAAAAAAAATTAAATAAATAAGATAATTTGTATTTATGAAAAAATACGCATCTGTGCTTTATTGATTTAACATGGCATCTGTATAACATTTATTCATTAATTAATCATATATTTTCTAAATTATTATAAAAAATAAATTAGCTTTTAGCTAGATCGCTGCAGTAGAATAAATCGGTAAATGTCCTATTGGTGTCCTACCTGTCCGCAAAGAAACCAGCAAGTTCCACCAGAAAGTTTAGCCTCTCTCAATACTAAACATTCAAACCCATTAATTGGCCAATGTTGACACAAAAAGGGTCAATATAGTTCCAGCTACCATGATATAAATATCCTTATCTATTTATTTTTGACTAGTGCCGTCATTTCAAAATATAATTTGCACTTTTTATTATAATAGATTTTGATAAATAATAAAATATTTCGAAATATTTAAAACAAATCATATTAGGAACTTATATGGTTTAGGTACGCTTTTTTAAGCCACGCCCTTTTTTCTTTTTCCGTCATTATTCTTTTACTTATTTTCCCTCTCAACCAACAATCAATTGAGTTGAGGTCAATTTTTGCTTAAAATGGAGAGAGATAGAGCTGACTCGGATGACATCATCGAGCTGGGCTGAGACGAATGACAAAATCGGTCCGTGAGATCTCTGAGCTGAATTACAGGGTCCAAAAATTTCTAAAAGGGGTAAAAACGGTCAGCATTTTGTAAAAAAATATGATTTCAAACACGCAAAAACTGAAAAACACAATAAAATACCGGACCATTAGTTCCAAAACGTAGATTAGTTCCAAAACGTAGGAAAAAAGGGCGTGACTAAAAAAAGCGTACCTAAACTATATAAGTTCCTCATATTACATATTACAAAAGTGCAAATAACTTTTTCTATTCCGCCGAATAGAAAGTGCTAATAAATATTAGCTTTAAGGCCGATTATTAGACTCAATATAAAGGGCACCACATTGTCTCTCTTATTTTCGGGGTATTTTTTTGCTTAAGACGCGAGACCAATGCCGTGACAATGCCGAATTATTGTTTCAAAAACTTACCTTTTTCTCTTCATTTTTCTTATCCATTTTTCCTTTCCTTACATTTAATGAAAAAAACGATTCCGCCCTTATTTTGGGATAGGGCTATTTTCCTATATATGTAGGGAAAATAAGAAGTTGGCTGTCTGGGCGGAGCCTGAATAATTTTAACGTAAATCTCCAAGAAAAAACAAACCTAGCACAGTTTTAAAGACGCAGGCTTTCAACGCGCGTCCATGGACGCGCCTCTATCATGTAGCCAAATTCTTCCCGCGGCATTTTTAAGCTATAGAACCCATTCAGCTACTCACCCTTCAGCTGGTTTATAATTATAATTAAAATATAAAATTAAAATTGCAAAGGAAGCATTTTATTTACATTTAATTTTAGTTAAAAGTTCAATTTACAAGAATAGGAAAAAATTTAGCTGTGGATGCAATGTATTTTTATATTAGCAAAAACTTGTTCAGGTTCAATACCATTACTCAGTTCAACTTAAAATCTCTTTTAATTACTTTCCTTTTCTTTTTCTTCTCCTTTTTCCAATTCAATTAATTTCTTAACGCCCTCATACATTTGTTTAACAGCCTCAAATTCATTAATTCCTAAACGTTTTTTATTAGAAATATCAAAAACATTGTTTTCTTCTTCGGTTTCTGTATGTTCTCCATTAATTCCTCTAATTTGTAATTTTAATTCTTCACAAATTTTTTTAAAATTTTCTTTCAAACTAATTTGTGGTAATTTAATACAGTGCTCCACATAACTATACTTCCACCCCTATTTTCGTGTTTTTTCCTGTTCGACCCCAAATTTTTTTTAGATTATCGTTTAAATATTGTCCCCAGGTAACTAAAAGACTAATAAAAAATTAATATTTAATTTCGGCTTAAAATTACTAGAGTTCTGAATATTTTGTTGGAAAACACCTCCACATAACTATACTTCCACTTCCCAAAAAATTATTTCCAACGTTAGGAAAAATCTACAAAAATTTCAGCAAACTTATATACTTATCTTATAAAAAATTAAAAAAAAACTAGGCAAATATCTTTATCCTAAGACGAGATCCTGATGCCTCGAGAATCAACGTAAAACAGGGGTAGGCCTCTTTAAAAATTATTTTCGACCCCTTATGGATTACTGTAATTTTTGATTTTGGGCTCATTCGAAAGCCCTTGAAATTTGCTATATGATAGCAGAAGATACATGCAGATAGCAGAAGATACATGAAATTTGCTATATGATAGCAGAAGATACATGCCGTTAATATTCCGAAGCAGCGAAAAATGCCTAAATTCCCTTAAAAATTCCCTTTAAAGTCGCTTCCAAAGTTTAAATGCCTGTTTCTTTCCTTAAAATTTTTCTGGAAAATAAACTTGATGCTATCTTATAGCAAATTTCAAGGGCTTTCGAATGAGCCAAAAATCAAAAATTACAGTAATCATAAGGGGTCGAAAATAATTTTTAAAGAGGCCTACCCCTGTTTTACGTTGATTTTCGAGGCATCAGGATCTCGTCTTAGGATAAAGATATTTGCCTAGTTTTTTTTTAATTTTTTATAAGATAAGTATATAAGTTTGCTGAAATTTTTGTAGATTTTTCCTAACTTTGGAAATAATTTTTTGGGAAGTGGAAGTATAGTTATGTGGAGGTGTTTTCCAACAAAATATTCAGAACTCTAGTAATTTTAAGCCGAAATTAAATATTAATTTTTTATTAGTCTTTTAGTTAGCTGGGGACAATATTTAAACGATAATCTAAAAAAAATTTGGGGTCGAACAGGAAAAAACACGAAAATAGGGGTGGAAGTATAGTTATGTGGAGCACTGTATGTACAGAAGCACGTATTGTTGTTCCCAAATTGGAAGGGCAAAAGGTTAACCAACCAAGACGTTTATCACGCGAAAAGGTTATCTTTATCATAAGAGAAAAGTTGCAAGAGTATATGTTGAGAGGGGAGGGGGAGAGGAATGGAGTTTGAAATAAGTATAAAATATATAGGTCTTGTCAAGTTTATCCGGCCAAACAGATCTATATACGTCGAATCACGTTTTTATGCGTCCATTCTGTGAAAATAAGAACCATGTTCTACATGTTAGAAAGAAACGTAACGCTTGTGTGTACTATATACAAGATGTTGAGCAGAACTTTCTGTTCAGACAGTTTTAAGTACTAACGTGCACAACCGGGTACTTATCGGCATTGAATAAAGCATGAAATTCAATTTGACGGATCACCTTTTGAATGGACGTGTATAAAGGTGCGATTGTATGTATAAACTGAACAAGAGCCAGATATATACATATTAAGGATCCGCGACTTGATTCCCAAAGAAGTTTATTTTTATGTCGATAAGATTTTTAAAGATATATTAAGGCCTAAATTAAAATTAAGAACGCTTGTTACGTGCCATTTCCGACTTGACCCTTGGCAAAGGGTTTGGCGTCGCTACCCGCTTCTCATTCCCCCTATTTGGGAAAAAATTTATAACTTTTTTTTAAAATGGAGATAAAAATTTTACTTGTTTGCCAAAATATAAATTGGAATGTTGCCTATGGTTTACCAAAAAATAAAAATTTTTGACCGTTTTATTTGAGAGTTATGAATTTTCTAGCAAGGTACTACTTTTCCTTAAAAATGACTAAAAAATGAGGCACTTTTTGCTAAAAATGCCACTTGGGGCAGAAAAATGCTTTTAAATTTATCCTATTTCTCACTTTATTTAACAAATACATACATAGTTGGAACTTGCCCCCCCCCCCAAAACCCTCCAAATGTTTGCCTACCTTTTCTTCAATAATTTTAACTCCCAAAATTAATCTTTTAAAAACTTTTCCAACATTTCCACCTTTTTCCATAGAAATTAAGCGTAAATGGTCTTCTTCATTTACCCAAACCAAAAAAGTTTTTTTTAAATTCAAATAAATTCCTCTTCCAACAGGCCAATAATTTGTAGCTTTGGCTTCATTTAAAAATCTGTCCCCTTCTTTAAATAAAAAATGTTTTTTAATTAATTTATTTTTTGTTTTTTTATTTAATTTATTTAGTGAATAATATATTCCTTTTAATTGTCTCATTTTTTTTAATTTTTTAAAAATTTTTTTCATTTTTGTTTCTATTGAAGTATAATCATTTAATGACATTAATGGATTAAATGGATATTCTTCTAATGTTCGAGCACATCTAATTCGAGTAGAAATTACATATTTGCCTTCTGGATCCAAATCTTTGAATTCTAAATTGGTTTATAAATTGGGATTATTTTACAATATTGACAATTAACCGTATAGGCAATTAACCGAACGAACCGAAGGATAATTCACGGAATGGACAACTCACATAATGTACAATTTACTGATTGGCCGAAATATAATTTACCGAATGGACAATTTATTGTATGTTAATTAACCCGAATGGACAATTCACCGATCGGACAATTCACTAAAACTGTCAAATTTCACTTTCACCCACTACTGATATTAGATATTTTTTTTATATTTGGGTGGCTTTTTAATTAGATAGCCACTATGTAATGAAGTTACCTAAATGATATATGTGGTAATTACCTGAAATGTTGTTTTCTCCAAAATCTGTCGGTGGATGTACTGCTTCTGGTCCAAAACCTTCATGATAATCGTCAATAATTGGATTGAACAATTCGGCAAATTTATGATATGATTCTTGATCAGGTGCGTAAACACCAATACCAGAATCTGGATTAGCAACACCTAAATGATAAATAAAACAGTTAAACGAATCTGCTATACGCTTCGATAAATTAGGCAAAATTCAGCCTAGTTTATTTTTTAAAAATTCTGTTAAATATTTTAAACCATACCTAAGGCTAGGATCCTGGAAAATATTTCAGCTTCCGGATCAATATAGGAGCTGAAAATTTATGAATATCCGGTTTTTCGAATCCTCAAATTTAGTGTCAGCCAGGGAGGTAATTCTTGGGTTCGTACCCCCTCCTTTTTCCTTACTCAAAGTATTAAAAAATGGTCAGTTTGTTATCAGATTATAGAACTTGCCGAGCTGTGTCGAATTACACCAAAATCAACTCCCGGTCTTAACCTTGGGCCGAGATCAAACCCCCGAAAATTGAAAAATAAAAGGGGTGATTAATCTCATTTTTTGGGCTAAAAATTCGATTAAACAAATAATAGCTCATTCAAAGTAGCTCATCGAGCTGATTCGAATGACATCGAAATCAACGTAATTGAACAAGATTTGACAAAGTTATTACATAAAATAATCCTTTTACGTTGGCGGACACTTGTGCAAAACCCTTCGTTTTGCGTAGGGTTTTTGTCTGTATCACGGCCCAAGGTTAAGACCGGGGGTTGATTTTGTATCATTCGACACAGCTCGTCGGCTTCTATAATCTGATAACAGACTGACCAGTTTTTAATACTTTGAGTAAGAAAAAAAGGGGGGGTACGAACCCAAGAATTACCGCCAGGGATGTCAACGGTTACCCAAAAACACGATGCCCAAAACCCGGACTTTTTTCGACTCGAAACCCGACCCGAGAAAAATTCTAAAACCCGACCCGACTTTTTTCTCAAACAGGGACATCCGTCGTGTCTACCAGTCAACCAGTTAATTTCTAGAAATATAATGACCAATATCCCTTCCTCCTCCCTCAACCTTTACCAGAACGAATAACATCAAATAAAGTTGCCCCAAGTTTTGTCTTTTTATATTTTAATTTTTCTTTTAAATTTTCAGTAAAATATTTTTTTAAGAGAGAATTAAAATTATTATTTTTCACAAGTTTTTTATATCCCTCTTCAATTAATTGTACAGTATCCTCGTCTGTCTCAGTTGAAGAAGCCATTTGTTTCTTCAAATTTTTTGGGTAAAATAAATTGTTGAATGTTTCCAAGTTGTGCTTAGTGTCTGGAAAAAAGTTTTTTTACAATCGAATAATATTTCTAAAAAGTCGAAGCTTAATAAAAGATACCCATTTTGGGATCAAACCAGCAGGTCAAGACCCTGGAGATCGAATGACCCAGAACCCATGAAGTCAAATTACCTAAATGATCAAAAGTAGTTTTCCGTTAATCGGCCGCAGACTGAGTATTATCCAATTTAAAAAGCTATAACTTTTTGATGCTTGATCCAATACAGATGAATCTTATATCATTCGAAATCTCTCGATAAGCCTATCTTTTACGCAACGGTATGGATCAGTTCTGTTCACTCATAAAAAAGTTACAAGTCGATAAGCGCAAGAAATTGTTGTTTTTCTCAGTTATCGGAGTATAACTTTTTTATGAGTGGTCAGACCTGACCTATACAGTTTGGTAAAAGATAGAGCTTATCGAGAGCTTTCGAATGATATAAAATTCATTTGTACTGGATCAAACATCAAAAATTTATAGCTGTTTAAATTCCTATATGGCAAATTTTTGGTTGATTTTTCTTATAATTTTTCCCCTTATTCCAAGATTTCATCCCAAGCAAAGACCGAAAAAAAGAAAAGTCATGGAATCAACATTCAAGACCAAGAGTTTTGGACGGCTCTATATTATATATTAAAATAATAAAATATGTACAATTTTGAGGAATTCCAACAAAAAAATCATCTTCCCCAGCTAAATTAACAACTTTTATAACATTGAAGAAAATTAAAAAATTAATAATAATTAACATTTCTTAAAAAATAATTTGAAAGATGTGTTGTTCACGACGGTATTTAATTTATTTAAATAATAGAAAATATTTTTTAAAAATTTACATCAGTCTTTGAAAATTTTAATTCGATGAATCTTTAAATTTTGAATTACCTTATAAAATTTAAATTATGAAAAAAGTTTTTTCCCAGACTCATATTTCAAAATAAAAACCCAATTTAAAAATAAATTTGGCTGGCCAAATTCAATTATGACTGAAAATTTTGAATTTGGAAAATAAAAAGCATTTGAATTTATATATATGTAAAATTTAGAACCTTTAAAAATGAAGAAGATTGTCAAAATTTGATTGTATCAGTCAAACAGTCATTCCTCTTTACCAAATTAGAAGTTGAATGGTAATCAGGGTGTTATATCAATATTGGAGAATTTTGAATTTTAAAAAGCGGAAGGCGGAAGCCGGAGTGCAATAAAGGCGAATTCTGCAGAAGTTTGGAGCGGATCCAGCCGTATATACTTAATTTAGGAAGTTATCGAGCAAACTGTATATTTTAATTACATCATTATTATCTAATTTATTACATCAGTATGATAAAGTTATTTATTTTAAAATTTGACATTAAAATAAATTTCATAAAAAATAATTTTTGTTTAGTGCACATTTTATAAAAAAGTATGTCTATGAGAAATGTAATAACACATACATATGTATTATTTCCTCTATATTAAAGAAAGTGCAGTTATATTCTTTTCAAAAAAAGCAATACACTGTTAACTATTTATACATACCATTATTTCTTGGGTTTTTCAAATTGAAATTGGGATGTGACTTTCTAGTTTTTTGTGTATTAATTCTACAAGCTAAAGCCGTATATTATCACAAAAATTTTAAATTTAAAAATTTTTTTCAGACGTAAGGTCATTTTTTCTAATAATTAGAGTTGACAAATTATACGCACCCGCTTCTAAAATTTTTATTTATCAATTAAAAAATTCACAAAAATTTATCAATTGAGGTATACATGGGGAGCTCAATCGTCAATTGAGGTATACCGCGAGAAAATAAGTATACATAAAAAAATAGAATAGAAAACATACATAGAGAGAAGGAAAAATGCTTCGCAAATTACATTTTGACGGAGAAATTTTAAGATTTTACTGTCATTTTGTTAATATTTTGGGGTAAATTAATTAAGCAAATCAAGGAAAAAATTTGCCTTGATTCTTGATTTTGATTGGGTACCTTGACCAGATTCTTAAGTCAAGGAAAAATGAAGGTCAATTTGAAAAATGCCTTGATCTGAACTCTGGATCCAGGAAAATCAAGGTTGGATCCATATCCAGCTCGCTCTCTAATATTTTCTAACCTTTCTACTAATATCGAAGTTTCATAATAATTATTATTCATGATAAAATTATTAGTTAGGCGAATCTTAGATATTAAATTTGTGTATTATTGAAGGCTTAAATTTCGAATAATGAAATATAAAATACCTGTTTTCCCAATTTTTTCAAAAATTTACTAACAATTTCATTATTGGCAATTTTAATCAAAATTCTCGTTTTTAATTGAGAGCTAATTTAGAGCAGTCATTTAGTTTACAATGAAAATATATTTAACAGGATTTGTTTCAAGCCTAGAAAACGATCCAGTATACTTATAAATATAATCTACTATTTTATTTCCCTGTTTTACATTCATTATCAATACAAAACGTTCCTTTATTTGAATATTTTTTAAATAAATAAATTCTCTTTTTTCTTCCCAATCTTCTTTTATTTTTAATCCAACCTCAAACATTCTAGCTTTGATTTGGATATTCAACAGAGTCGTCTAAATTTTGAAAGTTCTTTGATGTTGTAATGATGAAATATATTAAAATAATTAGACAATTTTTAAGAATCTGTTTGTTTGAGCAAGTTATTGCAAGTTATTTACTCTTAGGCAGTTTTCAATTTCCCAGTTCGGGCAGAATTTGGTTGAATTATTTTTTGAGGGGAAGCAAGTCGATTTGTGTGGTAGTAAGTTGAAGTGGTTAAAAGTAGAAGTTCAACAAACAGATTCTTTAAAAATTGTTTAATTATTTTAATTTTTCATTAATACAACATTATAGACATTTCAAAATTTATCGAACATATTTATTATTAAATTTAGCCTTTTTTAATGATAAACATCAATAAGCATTAAAATATTGCGAAATTTATCCCGCCTGATTTTTATTTATTTATTTGTCAAGTCGGCAGAAAAAAGAATATTTGCACTTTTTTCGATAGTAATGTTTAATATGTATGATTTTTGATTAAGATTTGTATTTTGTTTGCCATTAGGCCTGCTCTATGCTTTTTTATTTATTCAAAATCTAAAAACGAGACCCTAAATTTTAATAAAAATAGCGAGACTGAATAAATATAAAATTAATGTCATATAATTTTAAAAAATTTAATTTAATAATATTCAGCCGAGTTATGTTATCACTCAATTTCTCAGTTCATTGTTTTTATCA